GACCTAGCTACCATCACAGACTGGGGGACCACTTCTTTCGGTAAATAGAGAATAAAACCAAGAAATGATTATACAGGGGATTAGCTACAGTCGCACGCTGGGGGAGGCCACCCCTTATGGTAAGTAGAACTTACTGCCACACCTCCATAATTTGACAATATATAACGTACTTACGACGAGTATACTTGTACACGAGAAATGTATTAACATATTACCACATGCAATACAAAATTTTCAGATTCTGTTGATTTGAGAATTAACAATCAAACTATTGCATTTACAGGCTGCCACAATAGTGAAAATGTAACCAAACTATTGTATTTACAGGCTGCCACAATAGTGAACATTTAACCAAACTATTGTATTTACAGGCTGCCACAATAGTGAACATTTAACCAACATATTGCATTTACAGGCTGCCACAATAGTGAACATTTAACCAAACTATTGCATTTACAGGCTGCCACAATAGTGAACATTTAACCAAACTATTGTATTTACAGGCTGTCACAAAAGTGAACATTTAACCAAACTATTGCATTTACAGGCTGTCGCAATATTAAACATTTAAAACTATTCTGGCAGCCTGTAAATGCAATAGTTTGGTTAAATGTTCACTATTGTGACAGCATGTAAATGCAATAGTTTGGGGATGTTATAAGTGATGTATATTATTGTCATCAATACATGATCCATCAATACCTGATATGGATCATCCTTGCCCTTTCTTGAAACCACCACATAGGATGGTATAAGTGATGTATATTATTGTCATCAATACATGATCCATCAATATCTGATATGGATCATCCTTGCCCTTTCTTGAAATCACCACAGAGGATGTTATAAGTGATGTATATTATTGTCATCAATACCTGACATGAATCATCCTTGCCCTTTCTTGAAACCACCACATAGGATGGTATAAGTGATATATATTACTATCATCAATACCTGACATGAATCATCCTTGCCCTCCCTGGAACCAGCACAGAGGAAGACACGAGTGATGTTCTGGGTGGTGTAGGTGTTGTCGCACTCGGTGAGGTTCCAAATTGGAAGAGTAACTTGACGGAGAACGCCACTTGCGGTCCCGCCTGCAAACAAAGTATCATTTTTCTTTTTAAACATTATTGTGAAACATTTTGTTTAGCAACTGATAAGTTATGAAGGACAGAAACAGTACAAAAAGTTTTACAGGTTTTATTTATTTGTAAGTAGTTGATAAAGCAGGTTGTGAAGCATTGAAAATATAAAAATATTTGTTTAAATGTGGGGGATTTTATAAATAGTTAATTTGTTGTTAAGAAAAAAGTTACTCAATTGGTTATATTTGCTATGCCCAACACGAGTATCGAAACCCGTTTTTTAGTGTTATAAACCTGCAGATTCACCGCTAATCCAAGGAGGGGGTATAATAAAATTTATTATTTTAACTTTATGAAAAAAATATTTTAATTTGCAGTAGTCCGGTAAATTCCATTAGTGGTTCTATTGTTGTTTTCTGAAATTAATAAGCCTGTTTATTAATATTTATTTCAAACTCCCACTAAGAGTATATAGTAATTCAGACAAAACTGCACAGGTAACAAAATAACAAAATTGAATAATAGGTTGAATAATCGCAAAGTTTTTATATATTTTTATTTAAAGATTGTTTGTTTGTAATTAAGCACAAAGCTACACAATGGACTATCTGTGCTCTGCCCACCACGGGTATCGAAACCCGGATTCTAGCGTTGTAAGTCCATAGACATACCGCTGTGCCACTGGGGGGCCTTATTTAAAGAAGGATGACGTTTCGAGCTAGCGAAATGCAATAGTTTGGTTAAATGTTCACTATTCTGGCAGCCTGTAAATGCAATAGTTTGGTTAAATGTTCACTATTGTGGCAGCCTGTAAACGCAATAGTTTGGTTAAATGTTCCTTGAAACCACCACAGAATGAATCATCCTTGCCCTTTCCCCCGCGGCTGAAAGGGCTAGCATGTTTGATGTGACGGGGATTCGAACCCGCGACCTTCAGATTGCGAGTCGAGCGCCCTAATCACCTGACCATGCCGGGCCTAATCAAGAAGTATAATTATGAATAGAACGACTTGCAAGAAGCCTACCAATACTCCACTGAAACACCCTTCAATGATGTAGGATGGAACACTTTGAGGAAGCTACTTATGAATTAAACATATCAAGAATAAACACACAAAAAGCCAGTGTAAATGCATGTTTTTTAATTATTATTTTTAGATGTGTTTACAGATACTGTTTATTTTTATTTTTGGGATTACGGCCGAAAATATCGATAACAGTGCGTGCACCCAGCTGAATCAATGGGTTTCTGTTTTATGGTATTACATACACCTCACTGAACAGATTTATTAAGTTACGTAAATTAATTACTGAGTTAATTATTAGTTCTTATCTATGTAGTGGCACAGCGGCAAGTCCGTGAGCTTATAACGCTACAAGCCGGGTTTCGATATCGTTGTTGGTTGCAACACAATATTCTATTGTGTAACTTTGTCTAAAAAAAAAACAGCAACAAAAGAATAAACTATGATTATTAATTTCAACAAGAGTTTGTTTCTTTCCAGCGACTCAGTGATATGTCTGTAGCCTTATGACACTAACAATCAGTTTTAATACCTGTAGTGGGCAGAGCACAGATAACCCATTGTGGATCTTTGTGCTTAATAGCAACCAAATTAAACCAACCAACCACAAAGAGTTTATTTTATTTCAAAAATTAAATGCAAAGACTGGATTACTTATGGAGTAAATTTTTTTATTAATGCTAAATTTCCAAGCTCATGATAGACGAATAACACTTTTCAAATAACGCTGGTTTTAATCCAATCTAATATTTCAGTGACTCTGGTGTAAACTCCTGGATAGCCTGGTTCAGCACATCGAAAACCCCAAGATGCGATTCCGATCACAACCCAGCGACCATCCGGACGTTCAATCATCAAAGGACTACCAGAATCTCCCTAAGATAACAAAAAAACCCAAACACATTAATTATATAGCTTGCTATAGCAACCAGTTTGTTTCTGTTACTAGTCGCATAGGTTTTATTTGTTTTAATTCAACGATCAGTATTATATATGAATGGAAGAAGCAAAAGTTATTACCATACAGTTGGGTGGGACACAAGTTATTACCATACAGTTGGGTGGGACACAAGTTATTACCATACAGTTGGGTGGGACACAAGTTATTACCATACAGTTGGGTGGGACACAAGTTATTACCATACAGTTGGGTGGGACACAAGTTATTACCATACAGTTGGGTGGGACACAAGTTATTACCATACAGTTGGGTGGGACACAAGTTATTACCATACAGTTGGGTGGGACACAAGTTATTACTATACAGTTAGGTGGGACATAACTTACTTTAAAATTGGGTGGGGCATAAGTTATTACTATACAGTTGGGTGGGTTATAAGTTCCTATACAATTAGGTGGGGCATAGGCTACTATACAGTTGGTCCTATATGGTTATTACCTAAGAAAATATGATGGAAACAGTGGAATCCAACTTAAATATTGCTTGTTTAAGAGTAAGGTGTTATAAACTGAAGTAATGTCCTAAATGAAACTACATAGTCACTCTTGCCCCAACCTTTATAGCAGACTTTCTCTGCGTTTTATTGTGAACATAAGTGATGTATATTATTGTCATCAATACATGATCCATCAATACCTGATCGTTATAATGTGACGGTCAATCCCACTATTCGTTGGTAAAAGAGTAGCCCAAGAGTTGGCGGTGGGTGGTGATGACTAGCTGCCTTCCCTCTAGTCTTACACTGCTAAATTAGGGACGGCTAGCGCAGATAGCCCTCGTGTAGTTTTGCGCGAAATTCCAAAAAACAAACAATAACGCGAAGCGTTACGGTCATAATGCCATACACAGATTGAAATCGGATCATTTTTTCACAGAGTTCAATGCGCTCCCTTTCTATATAAGGAGAGTGTGAAGCTCTGGGATTTTTTTAATGTAAAAATAACTGGCATCACGTGACAGATACAAATACTTACGTAACGTAATACATATTAGATCTTTTCATTGTGCCTCATCTTCCAATGAGTTCGTGGTATGTCTACAAGCTTTTAGCGGTAAAATTCGGGGTTCGAGTTCCCATGGTGGACAGAATGCAGGTATAGCCTTACACTAAAACAAACAAACATTGTGCTTCAAATCTATGAATAAAGAAACTAACGATGCTTATTATAAACAAAATACACATGCGTAGTCGACTGGTGGTAAATATTTTCGACAGTACAAAAAAATGGACGAAAATGCCAATTTAAAAATAAATTATCAGCTAGGGCTGAGTTGGTTGTAGGACTCCCTGATATGTGTGTATATATATATATCTACTATAATAATGATCAGTTTTTGACTGTCCTGAAAATGCGCATGCGCGTGTACTTCTTTTAGTAGATATTTTTACAATAACATGTTAACAACTTATCAAAGTTTTAAGAAAAAAGTCTAAAATTAGGTCGTAGAATAACATTATAAGTTTATATATTGATAGTATCAAGTACGGTAAAATTTAGCTCTAACGCAAAAAAAAAAAAACGTACACAAATTACTGTTACTTCATCTCTTTATCCAATATAGGCTGTACTTAATAAAGGCTTAACTAATGTTAAGCCTAAGACGAGTGAACTAATAGATTTCGGTGTCTGCGATTAGAATTATTTTGTATTATTCTAGAAATCCTGTATTTTTAAAGAAGCCCCCCAGTGGCACAGCGGTATGTCTGCGGACTTACAACGCTAACATCCGGGTTTCGACACCCGTGATGTGCAGAGCACAGATAGCCCATTGTGTAGCTTTGTGCTTAATTACAAAACAAACAAACAAAACAATTTTTAAAGAAACACTGACAACAAAGACGTGTGATTTTTTTCTGTGTCTTTATTCCCGAATATTCGAATAACAAAATCTAATATTTGTTTCAACTCCAAATTAAAGTTACATTCTTTTTCGTTCATTTCTAACCAACTTAATTTCACATTTTAAGACCTTTATTAATTAATTCTGGCAATAGATGGCAGTAATGCATCGGACCTAATTGATTTATATTTTTGTTTTGATTTTTTTCCCTTTCTTTTCTGTAGGACGTCTCACTATCTCTGGTCTTGTGGGTTACTCGATGACGAAACATGCTGTTATTTCGTATGCCGATGGGATAAGAAATGAAATGAGAGACTGGGGAGTTCAGACCGTCCTAATTGAACCGTCACTCTATCAGTGAGTACAAAACTTTGTATGCTGGTACATAAATGAGTATGGTTTTCCAAACTCACTAGGTAGATTATAAAGTAAAGTAACATTTTTCTAAATCATGTAAGATAGTTAAAATTATTTTATGTAAGTGTGTCTCTTATAGAGGATCTACAATACTTTTTCATAAGACAGTAAAGATTATTGTAAAAGTTTGTTTGTTTAGTTTTGTTCAAACATACATGAAGCCTATCCGCGCTAGCTGTCCCTAATTTTGAAGTGATAGACTTGAGTGAAGGTAGCTAGTCAAAAATAGTAATAACTGCCAATCACAGTAAGTTACGTACTTTTACCGAGACCCATAATAAACATGGCCATCAGTATAACTAATTATGGAAACTTTTCGTACGTTCTTACTTATAAAGATGAGAATGCATTGTTCCATCATTTAGGATATTGTTAACGATATATTCGGCTGTATTCTCAATAATATCTCACGAGATTCGGCCAGCTTAGGAGGTTTAGGTTAGTCCTAACTTATAAGCTGACAATGAAAATAAATTTTTAATATAAGTACCACTAACTATAAATGATTTATTCCCTTTGTTACTCTATCGAGAACGCTTTCACGTTCCTTTTTTGGTAATGTTCAACAATATACTTCTACACTTAGCAATAAAACCATTATTTGATTGTTCTTAGGCCAACTATGGTGTTTATGTTGAATGCTCAATATTCATGTTGATTTGTTAGAAAGGTTTGTTTTATTCTTTATTTTCTTATTGCCCCCAGTGGCACAGCGGTATGGTTGCGGACTTACAACGCTACAAACCGGGTTTCGATACTCGTATTGGGCAGAGCACAGATAGCCCTTTGTGTAGCTTTGTGCTTAACTACAAACAACCAATTTTTTTATAACTTCGGTGATACAGCAGCAAAATAGTTTAATTCAGAAGTTTAGCCAAAAGCAAAATAAAATTTACCAAGTAGTGCTTCAGCTAAGTTTTATGTATTAGGCCTAATGATTAATTTAGACTACCAATAGGCTTACTGTTACTAACGTTATAGAGTCAGTGCTTAAAAGTTTTAATAGGTAAATAAATGTTAATTAATAAATATTCGTTTGATATTTTGACACATATATTACCTACTTGGCCTTAAAACATAAAGAAAAGTAAACGTTTATTACTACCAAGTATTTTTAAACCTTTTACAGTT